ATATAGTATAGTATTATATATTATTTATTATATATTTTTCATTTTTTTCATTTTTATTTATTTATTTATATTTTTTTTTCTTTCTTTGGTCTAAAATTCAAGGTCCAAGTCCAACAGTCCAAAAGGCCCAGCAGAGAGCCTAATCGGGCGGGCAAGCCTAACCCAACAAGCTGACCCGGCGAAAAACCCAGCAAACCAACTCGACCCAAGTTCGCATGACCTAGTGAATTAAGGTTTCAACTTTTGGATATCAGCGTTGCAGCACCAGATCCTTTGGATCTGAATCAATCCAACGGTCCATATGGGCCAAATTTTAGGGTTTTAGCATGAAACATTCAGGGAGAAACATCGATAAGCCCGAAGACTCTTGGAGAGTTCTCGTTCCAACAACAACAACAACACAAATCATTCGAAAAAAAAATAAAACAAATTAATGTTTCAGTCGAAATGGAACTCTAAATGAACCCAAAAATAGTGGGTTCACAAAGCTATAAAATCATGTACATGTAAAGTAAAAAAAGAAGTAAGATCGAAGCAAGAGAGCACTTGTAACATTAAAAAGAAAAGCGTAAATAAACAAGGTATTTTTTACCCTTCTCGGTTGGTTTACATGTGTTTGTGTTTGGTGTTTAGTATGCTTTTATTTCGGATTTGAAAAAAGAAACCAAGGATCGAAAGAGGAAATTTTTTTCGAAAGATCTTTTTCAGATCTATCCTTCCCGAGGTTTTTTTGCGAAAACAAAAAATATTTTCGAAGAAATGAGAGAAAAAGCTTTCGAAAAATAAGTTTTTTAGGGGGGGATTCACAGCCGATGAACGACGGCCGACGAGGCAATGCTGGCTGGAATCTGGGTTTTTGGGTTGAATGTTCTTCGTGTTATAAAGAACGCGAAGAACAATTCAGAGCATTTTGAGTTTTTGGTTTTGATCTGTTTTGAGGGGAAAAGAAAAATGAAATATGTTTATGAAACTTGGGCTTTATAGCCAACTCGAAAACTGACCCTTTTCACACCAAGATCCGCGTGTTTTTCACACCAAGATCCGCGTGTTTTTGATCAGGTAGGGGCTAATTACATAACTAGTCCCTGATTTATTTTTAAAACTTGTTTTGCGCCTCAAATTCGATTTTAATTCTGATTTTACTTTTAATTTCACCCCTTACTGTATTTTATTTTTCAATTTGGTCCTTTCTTTCTTTCTTTATTTAATTATATTTAAAAGACTACCACGCTTTATGAGTCATTGATCTGATAAAAATCGTTCTTTTATTTTTTTATTATTTCTTTTATTTTTATTTTAATATTTTTTGTCATTATTTATATTTTGCAATTGACATTTTTTATTTTTTATTTAATTACTTTTTTACATTATTTTTATTTACTTTGTATTTTCAATATGTATGATTTGTTTTTATTCTATTTATTTCAATTTTCCATTTTGTTAATTTTTATTTCTTGGCATATATATATTTTTTGATCAATTCAATACTTCATTTTTTAACATCTTTTTTTGACTTTTAGGGGTACTCTTTAATCAATTAAAAGTAAGTAACTTGGATTGAATTTTTTACTTTTTAATTTAACTTACAATTTTCTTAATTAAGACAACTGGAAATTAAATTACTACCGAAAGGGCAGTACAAGGGTGCTAATCCTTCCTTGAGTGTAATCGACTCCCGAACCCGACATATTTCTAGTAAAACGCATATCTTGTAAGAAGGTGTCCAATCATCCTAGTTTTTATGTTTTAAAAAAATGGTCAGTGGCGACTCTAACCCATTTAATCAAGTCGAAGCCCAATTTTGGGCCCAACCCGAAAGACGACCGCGAAAGTGAGCATGCCTTAGCCATTTAGGCTTTTTTATTCAAAATGTAAATATTAAACTACCCCAAAAATCGTTTCCTGAATTACATCGAAATACCTAGAAATTTGAATCCCCAAATCACTTGATCCATTTTTTTTATTACCATCCACCCCTCATCGCTTCCATCCCGTGAACGTCGTGTGGTACACCGCCAGTACCACGTGACCATTGTGATCTCGTAACCAAAAGCCAACCAACCAATCATCATAAAGCCTCACCATTCATCATGAATCATCGATCAAAGCTTTGACATAAACTGACCGGACGCCTTTATTCTTCACAGATTCTAGCTGAACTCGACCTTTGGTGACCTCATCGCCTCAACCCTAGGGATTGTGTCACTTCATCACCAGTCTTTGGTCGCGCATCCATCGTTCCTCGTTGGTAAGGTTCTTAGTTGTTTTTTTCACATTTTGATTGGAATTGAATGTTTATTGGTGTTTATTACATCGTGAGTAATCTGTTGGCTTACCCCTCCCCTGTCACCACTGCACGCTTTACCATGCGAGCATTGTGGTAACCATCGGAGTAATACAAGTTCTAGGTCTGTAGTACCTGCGCCCCCAGTAGCTAGTCAATGAGATTTTTTAGGTTTCTCTCCTTTACCGAACTGTGAGAATTGTGGTAACCATCATAGGGGAGAGTGTTGAAAAAATATGTGTACCTATTATCATTTTCGATCCAAGGAGTATTTCCTTAGAAATTGCCAAAGTTAGGAACTAAAATTATCTAATCAAAGAGTAATTAATCATAAAATAATGTATAATTTAAATACTAATCATGCACTTATTTCCATGGGATCGTACCGTATGGCTTCGAAGAAACTTAAGGAGTTGAAGGTCCAGATGCAAGGGTTACTCAATCGAGGTTTTAACAGGAACATTACTTCACTGTGGGGATCTCCAGTTTTATTTGTAAAAAACTAGGATGACTCACTCAAACTGTGTATTGGCTACTGAAAGTTAAACAACCTAACAATTAAGAATAAATATCCCCTACCCAGGATTGATGACATATTTAATCATCTTCGGGGAGCCACTGTATTCTCGAAGATTGATCTTCAATTTGGGTACTATCATTTGAAACTAAAGGATGATGATGCTGAAATGACTACCATCTGTACTCGATAACCAATGCTCTAGCAACTTTCATGGATATGATGAACCGTGTGTTCTAGCCTTTCTTAGACTAGTTTGTAGTGGTATTCATTGATGATATTTTGTTCTATTTCTAGACTGAAGTAGAACATGATAGGTACCAAATGATTATTTTACAGACTCTGAAAGAGCATTGTCTATATGCCAAGTTGATAAAATGTGAATTTTGGTTTTGAGAGATGATTTTCTCGGGCATATTGTATCTGCTAGTGGTATTAAGGTTACCCGAGCAAGATTGAGGCCGTTGTGAGTTGGAATCAACCTAAGAATGTCTTTGTTATCTACAGTTTCTTAGGTTTAGCTGGGTACAATAAGCGCTTTGTAGAGGGCTTCTCCATTATTGTTACCCCTTTAACAATGCTACTCAAGAATAATGTTCATTTTGTTTGGGGTGATACTCAGTAGGAGAGCTTTGAGAAATTGAAGACAACTTTGACTCAGGCGCCAATACTGATTCAACTTGAGCCAGTGAAAGACTTAACAATTTATAGTGATGCTTCGCGCTCTGGACTTGGTTGTGTTCTGATGCATGATGAGAGGGTACTCACTTATTCATCCCATCAATTAAGGTCACATGAGTATAATTACCCTACCCATGATCTTGAGTTAGCAACTGTGGTCTTTGCCTTAAAGATCTAGAGACACTATCTCTATAGAGAGAAGTGTTATATCTTTACTGTTCATAAGAGTTTGAAGTATCTTTTTACTTATAAGGAACTTAATTTAAGGCATCGTCGCTGGATCAAGCATCTAAAGGATTATGACTGTGATATTGATTACTACCCAAGTAAAACTAATGTTATCGCTGATGCCTTGAGTCGTAAGACATTTTTAATTTAAGGTCTTTATTTTCCAGGATGAGGTTATATGATGATGGCATTTAGTTAGTCGAGCTGTAGGTTAAGCCTACATTGGCCAATAAGATCAAGGCCAAGTAGTTGTTAGATAGCTCATTGTTTTCCATTATTGAGCAAGTTGAGAAAGAATCTACCTGAGACTATGCTTTTGACCCGGATGGAGTTTTATGCTTCAAGGTTTGGTATTATGTGCATGATGATGCAGAGTTGAGACAGTTTATCCTTCGTGAGGCTCATAATAGTCCCTATGCTATGCACCCAGGTGGAGATAAGATGTATAATAATTTGAGAGATTGGTACCGCTGAATTGACATGAAGAAGGATATTTCTGACTATGTGGCACGTTGTTTGACTTGTCAACAGGTTAAGAAAGAGTACTAACATCCGTCTGGGTTATTGAAGCCTATCAAGATTCCTGAGTGGAAATGAGAGCGCATTACTATAGATTTTGTTACTATACTGCCTCTAACCCCTTTAAAAAAATATTATGTCTGGGTGATGGTTGATAAACTCACCAAGTCATCTCATTTTATTCCTGTTCGAGTTAATTATTCATTGGATAAGCTGGCTAGGTTGTTTTTCTCAGAGATAGTCAAATTGCATGGAGTTCCTGTAACTATTATTTCTTATCGAGATCTGAGATTCACTTCCAGGTTCTTGAAGGCTCTACATGAGGCCATGGGTACTCGTCTGAATTTCAACACTATTTTCCATCCGTATATTGATGGTCAGTCTGAGAGGGTGATTCAGGTCTTGAAGGATATGCTACGAGGTTGTGTGATAGATTTTCATGGTAGTTGGGAGAACTTCTTACCATTGGTAGAGTTTGCTTATAACAACAGTTACCAAACCAATATTAGTATGACACCATATAAGGCTTTGTATGGGTGTAGATGTTCTACTCCTATATGTTGGACTGATCTACGCGATATAAGGACTTTGGGACCGGAGTTAGTCTGAGAGACTGATGATACTGTCAGACTGATTCAGGATCGCCTGAGAGAGGCTTTTCACAGACAGAAGTCCTATGTTGATCAGAGGAGAAAATACATTGAGTTTTAGATTGAGGATCTGGTTTTTCTGAAGGTATCTCTGTGGAAGAAAGTATTAAGATTTGGATATATGGGTAAGCTGATTCTGAGATTTATTGGTCTGTATCGTATTATGAAGGGGGTTGGACATGTTTATTATCAGTTGGAGTTGCCTCTCCAGCTTGGTCATATTCACGATGTTTTCCATGTATCTATGTTGAGGCTATACCTTTCGGATACGAGTCACATCATCCTGGTTGAGGAAGTTGAGTTGAGACCATATCTATTGTATGATGAGGAGCCTGTTCAGATTATGAATCAAGATGAGAGAGTTCTTCGGAACATGCATATTCCAATAATGAAGGTCCAGTGGAGTAATCGTGGTCCCAGAGAAACCTCAAAGACAAAGGAGTCAATAAGGCATCAATTTTCACAGCTATTTACTCCAGGTAAATTTAGAGATCGAAATTTTCTTTAGAGGGAGAGTTGTAACACCCCAATTAAAGTTGCTTTTAACTTAATTTTAATTTAATGTTTTTTGGGACCATTTTATAAGATCTTAAAAATTCTAAGGTAGTTTTTGGGAAATCCTATGAGTTTAGGGACTCATTCCCTGATTTAACCATTATAGGTCTGTAAAGAAAAAATATAAAATTAGGTCATTGTGGTGACTTGAACCAATGACCTAAGGATAAGGTTAAGCATGCCTTAGCCATTTATGCTAGGGCACTATTCAATTTTTTATTCGAAATGCAAATATTAAACTACCCCAAAAATTCTTCCCAAAATTAAATCAAAATACCTAGAAATTTGAATCTACAAATCCCCAAATCATTTGACCCATTTCCTAATCATCGTCCACCGCTCGTCGCCACCCTCATTCGATAGTCGTATAGTGCATTGCCAGTACCAATGTGACTGCCATGATCTCTCGACCAGAACCCAACCAGCCGATCATCGTTCATTATTCATCACAAATGATCGATCGAAGCTTTGGCATAAACCACCAAACGCCTTTTTTCTTCACGGATTTTGATCGAACCTGAGCTCTAGTGACCTTATCGTCTCTGGTATTGTGTTCTCCGGTCAGTTCTGAACAAAACCCTACTGATCATGTTGCTCTGTCACTGCTCTTTGGTCTCACTTCCATCGTTCATCATTGGTAAGGTTCTTTGTTGATTTTTATTCATTTTTGTTCACGTTTTTTTTGCTGGAATTGAATGTTTATTAGTGTTTGGTTGCATCTGGAATAATTGACTACCTTTTTCTGCCCCTGTCGCCGTCGCACGTGCCATAGTCGTGTGTGGGCTTTTCGAATAGTCTGAATCATTTTGAAACTGAGTCAACTCATGTTGAGTCCACTCGAGCTGAGTCGACTCAGATCGGTCTGAGCCGTTGAATTTGACCGAACTGTTGAATTTGATCATGGCTGACTTTGACCAAAAAAGTTCAATTTTTTAAAAGTCTTATTTTATGTTTTTGACGTCCTGAGTCTGAATTTGTGGTATGTTTTGCGAAATTCTAACTCAAAAGCCCTCAAATTGAACATTAAACCTCGAACATACATATGCATTTAATTATTTGATTTAAGTGAGATTAATTAAAGGACAATCACTGATTTATGTTATAAATTATTAATGGTACTCAAGACTCCCCCGATCGCTCGTCAGTTCGTCCCATCACTTCCTGACTTGTTCGACCTCATTAGCCCGTGGTTACTTGTATAGTTATGAGACCTCTGAATATTTATTTTTAAATATTTTTTCAAACATAACCTAAATTTATTATGGTTTATTTCGAGTGTTGTAAAGCATAGCAAGGTCTATGTTCAGTAAACCCACCTAACTGACTTTTTTTAGGCGTGTTCCTTGTGTGCTATATAATTATTTTATCTGTTCTGAAAGATATTGTTTTACTTGTTCTAATTTATTAATGATTTACCTGATCAATGTCATGATTTTTTCAGCTTTACTAATTTTGGAATTTTTTTACCCGATACATGCTTTCTGGTTATCTATTGTTTTACTGGAAATATAAACATGCTTGATCTATGGATCATAGAACTACTGTCACCATATAAACTATTTTACTGGATATTATCTGGGTAGGTTCTGGAGTATGGAGGTTCAGATCTGATCAAGCTGGTAATTCCTTATGGACCTAAGATAGCCCTTGGGTAGGCTCCTAGGCCCCGAGATGCTCCCTTGGGTAGGCTCTTAGGCCCCAAGGTATTCCCTTGGTTAGGTTTTTATGCCCCGAGTTATTTCTTGGGTAGGCTCTAAGGCCCCAATATATCCCCTTACGTTTACTCCTATGCTCAATAGGCCTAGGGTAAGCCTTATGATGCAGTTCTGGGGAACTTCTTATGTTCTATTGGTGGCAGGTAATTAAATGTCTTTATTGAAAACTTTCTATCACTTTTATAAAATTTTTACTAAACTATTTCCTAAAATTACCAATATGTTTTATTATGCACTTGATGGAATACATTGAGCTCCCTAGCTCACTCCCCCTAATTTTTTCCCTTTTCAGATACTTTTGGATAAGCACCCCGGGTCAGACACTTGGAGGATTGATACATTTCATACCACAATTTTTTGTTGTAATGTTTCTATCTTTCAAACTGTCTTTATTATAGGTGACATGTGCCTATATTTTGTTATACTTATTTTATGGTATATTATGTTTTACTACTGATGTATGAAATGCTACTATATTTGTTATTTGGTACGTCGTATTTGGGAAAGATATTTATGTTATTAATATTCGGTTTGAACTTATCTGGTTATTTTTTTAAATTATGTTTTTCATTACTTGGATTATAAAAGGGTTTTTAAAATGTTTTAGAGAAATTTGTAATGTGATTTCATAGACCTAGTCGTGATGAATAGACGTGGTCTAGGGGGTACAGTTTTAATCTAACATTTTATTTTATCGAAAATACCCAATTTTGGTATGTAAAAATAAAAAATCAGTTTTAGGAATAAGTTACACGTGGTGAAAGATTAACACCCCACAGTACTTAGATATTGTTACCTAGCTGATTACTCTATATTTAAAAATTGAAAATTTTGAGTTCAAGATTTTATTTAATTAAAAAAATCCTTATGTATGCAAATTTAAAAAATGATATTCATTTATTGGGACCAAAAACATCCACCCCAAGCATTTATGCAAAAGCTTAATTATTGACTCCAATAAACAAACATTGCCTCGAAAATTAAGAAATCATTGATATGGAGTTTTGAAAAGGATGTCGATTTACTTTTAGAATTATCAGTGTTCACCCCTTGAGCATAACATGGAGGTTGCACTATTAATTCCTTGATAAAGGAACATTGCCTTATTATTTTAAAAAACAAAATACAATCAAACAACCATTTATGAACCTAATTATACTAGTGAATTAATTAAGGCTTCCCTCTAACTTAATGTGTCAAATTATGAAGCTTAAAGAACCCAAAGGACTAAATCTAAAAATGGGGGCTCTAATATTAATTCTAATTTATTTTAACAAATTATTGAATCGAATAATAAAAATGGACCTTTGGACATTTTAATTTGATGACCAAATCGAATTATTCTCTAAAATAAGGGAGTAAAGTGAAATTAAACTAAAATGAAGGCTATAATTATTATATTAATTTATTTTAACCAATTGAATAATCAATTTGGAACCTTTGACATCAAGGCGAGGACCAAACTGAAAATTCCCCTTATTCTAAAGTTCAAGGACTAAAATGAAATTAAACTCAAGTTAAGTCTCTAATTAGTAATTGTAATAAAATTTTAAAATTTACTAATCAAATTATGAAAATATAACAATCCATAATGTGATTTCAATCTTTCAATCTTACTTCTGACACTCGAGTGTCTATCACATTAGCTAGAAAAGCTACGTATCCTTTTGACATCATTTTCTTTGCTGTCATGGCTGATATCACATTGGAAAGTGATTTCGCTTTTTCGTCGATCACTATAATTTTAGAACCTTCAGCATCCTTTAGAAACAAGCGTTTCTTACGACAATCAACTCATCCATAATGTGAAGACAACCAATCCATACCCAGGATAGTTTCAAATTCTTCGAAGGACAACTCCATCAAGTTTGTTGAGAACACAACTCTTTGTATCGTAATCATACATTTACTACATACCCGAGTTACCCTTGCACTATTACTCATAGAGTTTACAACTATCATTTCACTAACAATGGGTTCTAAAGAAATTCCTCTATTTCTAACCAACTTTGTACTAATATACGAGTACGTAGAACCAGGATCAACTAGAACAAAAATAGGCTCATCGAAAAGGTGAAATGTACCTGTTATAATCTCCGGATCCTCAATGGTCTTTATATTATAAATTTGGGCCACTCCTCGAGTCTCTTATCTTTATCTAGCCTCAGTTTGATCGCATAATCTTCCTCTACCTCTACTTCTAGTAGGTGTTGCTACCGATCTCTCATATTGTACTGATCTATCCCATGATCTCTGCGGACAACTCCTAGCATAATGAACATTTCCTCCACAATTAAAGAAAGTGCCAGAGAGCACTCTACATACTCCCTGATGAAATTTACCACATGTCTGACATGGGTTATCTTTTTCTCCAAAAGCTCTACCCGAGCTCGTAGAAAAAGAATGAGATTGCTTAGACTTCTATCAGCAGCATCTGTTCTATTAGTATATCAGAAACCTGATCCCTTGCCCCTCCTAGCATAATCTGTAGATGAAGACATCCCAATCTTTTTTCCCATCTGTATATTCTACTCCACAGCTAGAGTCTCCTCTTGAGCTCTTTCATTCGTCTTTGCTCTATTTATCACTTCTTGCAGACTAGAGAAATTTAATACCAACATTATCTCTTTTAGGTTAGGCGTTAGACCCTCAATGAACCAATCTCGATGAACTTTATCATTAGGGACAACCTCTGTAGCATAACAACTGCGCTTATTGTATTCAGCCTCATACTCATGCACTGCTCGATTACCTTATTTCAAGCTAAGAAACTTCAGCAACATCGAACTCATGAACTGCTCCCCAATGTACTTGTTCTTGAACTCTTCTTAGAAGAACTACCAGTGCACTTGCTTGGGTAACGCATACATCGTTGTGTTTGTTCACCATACTCGAGTCGATCCTCTAAGTAATGATACAACTCCACCAAGCTTTTCATGATCGGAGCACTGCAAACTTTTCAACATCATCATCACATCGTTCAACCATAAATCCGCATCCATATGACCTTCACCCTTTTCTCCCCTGAACTCAAGGGCTCCCAAACTGTTTAACTCCTTTGGAATTAGCATTCGTGGTACTGAAGGAGCAAGGGGAGGTGGTGGAGGTTAGAACCTTGTCAAGATAGTGTCAAGAGCTTTCATGAAAGCCCCAAATATTGAATTAGGGACTTTATTGAAAAGATTTAAAATTTGAGGATTTAAGTGATTAAATGATAAAAGATGAGAAATGATTTGGTTTAGTGATTTAGTCAAAATTGTAGCAATGGATAAATATAAGGGCATTTTGGTCTTTTAAAGGATAATGAATTTAAAATTCATTTCTTTATTAAGTATTAAAGTAAAGAAAAGGGGAATTTAAAAGAAATAAAAGTTATCTCTATTTTCTTCTTTTTCTCGTGGAAAAGGTTCTCCTGCATAGCTCAAAGGTGAGTTTTTGATTTACTAGTTTATTCCTTCGTTTTTGGTTGGTTTTTGAAGTATTGAGTATAATAGAAGCTTAAGAAAGGATTAAATGAGATCAAAACTAAGTTATGGATAAGATAATAGAGATTGAAGGAAATGGGTTTTTGAATATGAGGTTAGAATATGAGTTTTTAATGATGTTTGTTAGTATATTTGACTTGTCAAAAATGTAAATAAGAGATTAGAAGCATTAGATGAGTTTAAAACCAAGTTGGAAATTGTGGTGTGATTCTTAGAATCAAATGATCTTGATGGATACTAAATGTTTTATGTAGCTAAATGAAGGAAAGTTAGTATGAAAAGGTATAAAAGAGTTTAATAGTATTGTTGGGAGTAAACATAAGGAAATTTGACCAAGTTTTGGTATATTTCGGGTTGAAAAATGCAAAATATGGGTAAGGGTACCGGTACTGATAGAACAATACCGATACTATAGGCTAAAATGGGATTAATCTACTAAGTTTTATCGATACTGATTGAATCAGTATTAATACCGAAGGGGGAGTATCGATACCGAAGGGGGAGTATCGATACCGAAGGGGGAGTATCGATACCGAAGGGTAAGTATCGATACCAAAGGAAAGGTATCGATACCATTCAAAACAGAATGCAAAAATGGTATCGATACTGAGGAACCATAAATTGTAAGATAGACTAATAATGTTGTAAAAAAGTTAATAATAGGTTATATTGAGTAATGCTTAAGTGCAATTGTTAGGAATATACTAATAATTGATATTGTACATGTATTTAAATGGATGCTTGAGTAGATAGAAATCAAACTCCTGAGACAAGCAAAACGAAGGGCAAAGGCAAAGTATTTGAGTAAGCATCTTTGCATTTTGGATATATTAGCAAAGATAGTCAGGTGAGTGCATCTAATTGTGTACCTATATGTTGTACTAATCATATATGTATGATTGTTTAATATGTATGTGGTGATTACCAAATATGCACTAAGTGTGCATTTCACTGAATTCATCCTACGTGGATGAATAACTGTTTCGACACTAAGTGTGCATTTCATGGAATTCATCCTATGTAGATGAAAAAACATTTCGGAACTAAGTGTGCATTTACGGACTTCATCATATGTGGATTAATAACCGTTTTGGCACTAAGTGTGCATTTTATGGAATTCATCCTATGTGGTTGAATAATCGTTTCGACATTAATTATGCATTTCATGGAATTCATCCCATGTGGATGAATAACTATTTTTTGGCACTAACTGTGCATTTCACGAAATTCATCCTATGTGGATGAATAACCGTTTTGGCACTAAGTGTGCATTTCACGGAATTTATCCTATGTGCATGAATAACCGTTTCGGTACTAAGAATGTATTTCACGGAATTAATCCTGTGTGGATGAATAACCGTTTCGGCACTATTTGTGCATTTCACAGAATTCATCCTATGTGGATGACTAACCGTTTCGACACTAAGTTTGCATTTCACGGAATTCATAATATGTGGATGAATAACCGTTTCGACACTAAGTGTGCATTTCACGGAATTCATCCTATACAGATGAATAATCGTTTCGGTACTAAGTGTGTATTTCATGGATTCAGCCTATGTGGTTGAATAACGTTTCAACACTAAGTGTGCATTTCACAGAATTCATAATATGTTTATGAATTACCGTATGGGCACTACGGGTGCATTATAAAGAAATGATAATG